AACTCGGAAGCATCGTACGAATATATATGTATATATATATATATTGCATGGATGTCGTATATTCGTAAATATATATATATATATATACTGGATGTGAAGCATTTCCTGTCGTGGGTGGGATTGCATTTGAGAACGACGACATACATGATATAATTAATGTTGGAGTAGGTTGCCAGCGTATATTTGTGGCGAAATCATCTTCATCGATTCGTTCCAAGCTACCGAGGTGCGTATTGGTCTATAAGTGTGTGTAGCTAGCTAGTAGTTGAAGTAGTAGTCCCTGTAGTACTAGTAGTAGGCAATCGACCGGATGATGATTTTGTTCATAGGACTTTAACCCGTATCGTCTGGCGTACGGCACGCGGTTCTACGTGGTGACTGTGTCAAGCGAGTAGACGAAGTGAATGCTGCTACTGTCTGTGCACATGTCTACTAGTAATTGCCGCCATGGCCTCAGAAACACCAACGTTCCCATCGCTACTACAGTCCATCGTCAGCTTTGTTTAATAGTAATACTAGTATGGTGCACGTCATCTAAAAACTTCCACCAATCGCCAGACCTTGGAAATATTATATAGACTAAGTTTAAGAGGTAACTCGGTGACTGCTTTTTATCCAATCATGTTGCAGCCTTCATTTTTTAGCCAATCATACTGATTTGTTGGCCCAAATATGGCAAATTTGGGTGAAAATTAGAGGGCATATTTTGGTCGTCCATCGGGTCTGGTTTGTGCTGATAATGTACCCTTATCCGAATGACCGGATGGAGTATATCGGAGTAGTTGGTAGTATCCAAATAATGGATAGGATGACTTCTAACGTTAACATTAGCGTAGATGGAAACAAAACAGAACCAGTGACGATGGATGACCACGCCTCCACATGACTTGAAGCGTAGATCGAAGCGATGGAGAGGGTAGTGTTGCATGTACTCGCCTGCTACCCTTCACAGAGAACACCTTTATAGTAAGACGTTAGCCTGAGCGCTTGGCAAGCGTATTCATCGCTTCACGGCACCACTTGTAGCAATGGCAAGCTGACGTAGTGTGTTTGTATGATATAGCTAAATATTTGATTTTGTTGCTTCTGTACCGATGAGCCCATTGCGCTGTCGATGTGGCAGCAACAGCGATGGTTGTGTTGGCAACGAAATCAGTGCAGTGACGTTATATTGCGAGGCGGGCGCCGCCAAGTGAAATTCGCATACCATAACATACGCTGGTATATGTGGACAACGCGGCCTTGCCCGTGAAACGCTTGGTCGCCGCCCTCAAGCCCATCATCTAGACACATACAAAACCTATCGTCACGTCAATTGTTACGGGAGTAACACTGTTACCCACAAGGAGGCATGAATGAAGTGTGTGGGACCGCGGTTGTATGATCCGATGCAGATGGAGGCTGTCAGTCTTGAGCTTATTATGCACCCGATACACTTTTATATACGCCCGAACCACATCCGTAAGTCGCTCAAGGGGAGGCCTGGTTGTAGGCCTCTCCTCAAGTTACCTATAGATAAGCACTCAGTAGTGTTGTCTACCGGTAGCTACGTGTGTATGGTGTAGTTAACCATAATTCGAATCTGCCA